CCCCTTTCGCCCTCCCGATCTTCTCCCCCTGCCGATTCCGCGTCTTTCCCCCCAATGCCAGGCCCAGCGTCCCACTAGGGTCTCTCTCCCAGCGTCTGTGTTTGTGCCCGTCCCCCTCCCCGTCTGTCCGTGATTCTCCCTTTGTTTTCCCTCCGCCTCAGGCCGCGCTTTTTGCCTCCCCCCGCGTGTGCCTCTGGCTCAGGGCCTCAGTTTCCCCACAGGGACAACGAAGAAGATAACGGGCCGTCCGGGAGGGCTAAGGGCGCGAAGCCACCTCCGCCCCGAGACTGAGCTGCACGCCTCTGTCTCCAGGGCCCTCCGAGGGCCCCCACACTCCCCATCTCGGCCTGCGCTCCGCCCCTCGGAATTCCCGGCTCCGCAGGGGGGCGGGCCTGGCGCGGAGAAGGGGCGGAGAAAACGGGTTAGAAAGTTTGCTGCAACTTTCTGGAGCGTAAGTCCCTGGAACGGATGCGCGTGGCCCGCGCAGGCGCAGTGGTAGGAGGATTGCCAGGGGCGCGGCTGGCCCAGCCCCCTTCTTCCCGTGCTCGGGTGGCACAGCAGGGCCACAGCTAGACAAGGGGCGGTGCCTCTGGGTGGCCCGTTCGCCCTCTTCTATTGGTCGGGTGCTGGAGCCACACCCCCAAGTCCCCACCCCCCACCCCTGATTCGTCAGCTTCGCCTCCCGCTAGCTCCCCGCCAGGCCATTGGCCGCCTTCACTCGCCTTCTAATTGGCCCACTGAGCAACCTCTTTCCCGCAATCAGGGACACCGAGGAGTCAGAGCTTTTGGGCAGACGAGAGGGCCTTTTATTCGCGAGGGTCGGGGGTGGGTGTTGTAGGTGGGGGGAGACAATAAATACCGAGGAATGTCGGGGTCTCAGTGCATCCAAAACGTGGGGTAGGGTGCTGGGGTCTGGGAGCCTGTCAGCGGGTCGGAGGATAGGTCAATAAATACCCAAACCGCCGGGGCGGGCAGAGCTGGCTGTGGCTCCGAGAGTAGCGTACGTGAGGAGGGCGCGGGAGGCCCCGAAAAAGCGGGGCTAGCAAAAGCTAACGGCTCCCGAGCGGGCAGGGCTCGCGCTAGACGTTCTCCGCGGGAAGAGAACGTTCCGGGAGAGCAGGGCCTCATGCACAAGGATTTGTGGGTTTCGAGCCGATGTGGCTGGGGGTGCGTGGAGGGTGAAAAACTGAAGGCCGAGACCCGGCCCTGCTGCCTTCTCTAGATAGTAGTTTGCCCATCCGCGTCGCGACTTCGGCCAGGCCAGATGGGAAGTGGTCCGCGATTCCCCCCAGCAAGTAACAGCGCTCCGGCCGCGGGCCCGGCTCCTCCCTCCCCGGCCGCCAGGGGGCGGGCCCGGATCACAAGGCTGGAGTTGGGGCGGAGACCCGCGTTTAGTGGTGTGAATGGGGAGGTGGTGGAAGTGGTTTCTGGGCCAAACCCAGGCCACTCAAACCTCCAGCAGGGCCCTAGTGGAGGGCAGGCTGGGCTTCTAGGGTTCAGGGGGCGAAGGCGGCTCCTGGGCGGCGCCAGACCCTGGCGAGATGGCCTGCGCAGGCCACCAACCCAGTGCAGCCCAGGGCGGCGGCACCAGCCAGTGCAACGGAGAACAGGAGCAGGGAACGCGCCTCCGATAGGCCAAGCCTAGGGACCTGTGGGCGAGAGGGTGGATCAGCGCCAGCGACACGGGCCCCTGATTGGCTCCTGGGACTCGCCCTGCCTACGCCCATAGGTGGGTTCACAAATCCTCGCACTCGCTTCGCGCCCCCGACAGCGCGGGCAGCGGTGGTTGGTCGGCTCTCAAGCCTAAAGTCTTGTCCGAACTCATCATTGGCTTCTTCCTAGCAGCCTGTGTTGATTGGCTGCCCGAGCACCCTCCCTCCCCGCGGCTGCCCAGCCGAGCAAAGGCACAGCTAAGCCGAGCGGCTTGGGGTGCGTGGAGCGAGGCGCGGGCGCGGTGGCTGACGCGAGGGTGTGAGCAGCCGGACGTACCCTGGCAGGGAGCAGCAGGTGGCGGCGGTGAATGGGGCTTGGCCCCACCAGTGGGCACTGGCCCAGAGCCACGGCCGGGGGGCCATCTAGCTGGAGAGAGAAGGGACAGGTGACCCGATCCGAGCCCAGCCCCGCCCAGCCGCCTTGGCGGGGGCGAGAGATAGCGAGGGGAGCCGAGGTTGGGCAGGGAATCGAGGGAGATCCCGGGCGGGATTTGGCAAGAGGCCCGAACTGAGGAAATCTGGTGGATGTGGGGCTTGAATGGAAGCTGTCTGCCGCCTGGAACCCCGAACGGGTAGGGTGAACCCTAAACTTAGACCGGGAGACAGGGATGGGGTCTGAAGATGGGGCAGTAGGCTTGACGCAGGGGAAAAAGAGGGGTCTTACATGGGAAGGTGGATCCGCGGCCCGGGGACTGGGGACCCCCGTGACAGCTGGAAGGAGAAGAGAGAGGCGTAGGGCGCGTGGAGTGACGGAGGAGGGCGGAGGGCGGTGGCGTGGCGTGCCCCAGCCTGGGCCCCTGGCCCTCCCCCAGGTGTCTGCACACACCCGCGGGCCGACCTCCCCCAGCTCCCTCTGGAAAGGGGGCGAACGAGAGACTGACCAGCCGCTGCCTCCGCCTGCAGCCCCTCGGCCTGCAGCCCCTCCACCCGCTCTTGCAGCTGCCGGACGTGCGCCTCCAGGTCGCGGTTCCTGGCCTCGGCCTCGCAGAGTTGGCTGCGGGAAGGTAAGGACCGTGAGCCCTTGCGGACGGAGAGACGGGCTGCTAAAGGGAGCGACAGGCCCCGGAGCCCGGACCCAGACCTGGCGAAGTTCTGGTTAGCGGTGCGGATGGCCTCCAGCTCCTGGCTCAGGCTCTGTCTGGTAAGCACCTCCTCCTCCAGGGCCTCCTGGAGCTCCTGCAGGGTCACCCCCGCCTCCGCTGGCATGGCGGCCGGAACTGCGGCCTACATATGGGAATCCGGCTTACTGCTGCCTGTGGCTCCTGGAGCACTCAAGACTTGTGCGTAGGTTCCAGGCCTGGAAAACTTCTGTCCTCTACCCCCCAGTCCTTAGAGCTCTTGGGACTCCCAACAGCTCCTGCAATGATCCCAGCCCCCTCCTTCCCTAACCCAGCCCCTGCCCGGTCTCCAGCCTTAATCCCTTCCACACAGGCACCAAAGGGCTGTGCCTAAAACACTAACTCAACTGGACCATGTCACGACCCTGCTCAAAATTACTCCTGCTCCTCTGTGCCCTCCAGAGAAAGCCGGCGGCCCCCAAAGGCCCTGTTTGGTTTGTTTCCTGCCGGCCTCTGCAGCCTCCCCTCCCTGTCCACCGCCCTCAGCCTCACTGCCTCCCTTCCCGGTCAGGAACAAGCCAGTGGTCCCCCGCCACGGGGCCTTTGCCCTGGGGGTTCTCTGCTAACCCATGGGTATTTGTCTTCCCACGGGCAGTCCTCCTCCTTCTCCGGGGCCCCCTCCCTAGAGAGCCCCCTCCACACGCCCTCAGCACCCTCTCATGTGAAGTCATGCTGTCTCTGTTCTGTCCTTCTGTGAGGAAGCTCCCAGAGCGCTTCGTGCTCCATGGGACACGTCAGCCTAGGAGTATGTCCCTTTCCTCTCGGATTCGTCCCTGACCGACCCTTTCCTCCAACAACTCACTGTTTCTTCCAGTGGTGGCACCATGGGCTCCAGGCTGGGCATTTGCACAGGTGGCTCAGGCAACAGCTTGGCCTCCAGTTCCATGGGCGTGGGGCCCGGAACCTCATCATCCCTGGGGAGAGGGAGTGGATGGGGGGGAGGGCCTGTGGGCACGGGGCAGCCAGACCCAAAGCCCCCATGGTCTGAGGAGGGGGAGGGGGCAGAGCGAAGGGAACAAATTGCCAGGTTGGTGTGACAGGTTCTCCTCTTGGAAAAGAAGAGGCCTGTCCCTGGCATGGCATCAGGCCCCTGGGACCTGCCCTCTCTGCACCTTCCACGGGAACTTGGGGTCCAGATACCCATGTTCTAGGGTCCGCTTATCTCCTCCCTGTCCAGGTGACCTTTGCACACCCCTCCCCTTAGAGCCTCCTGACAGTGAGGGGGACCTAATGAGGGGGACCCTGACCAGCTCTGGCCATCTCCAAAGGTATGGTCTTAAGACGGTGTGGATCCCAAGCCTGTGCCTCTAGACATCAGCACGACCCCCTCATACCCAGCTGCTCGGGGAGGGGGACAGACCCTGCCTACAAATACGAAATGGCAGTAACAGTGGATGTCCCTTCCAACCCAGCAATCCCCTCAGGGAACTGCATCTCCAGGGCCTAATAACCCTGGACTTGCGGTGGCTGTGCGTTCAGCCTGGATTCCAGCAGAGGGGACGGGCGAGTCCCGAGCTGCCCAGGAAGGAGAGTATACTGGGCGGGTGAGGAGCAGGTTGAAGTTCATTCACAGTAAGAAATGGCGTTTGCAGTACAGTGTCCGGTAACAACACAGACTGTGCACAGCGTGTCCTCCCAGCCAGGGGCCCTCACTGATGCTGAGCTTCCTCTTTCTCATTTATATTTGATAATTTACTTTGACGAGCAATGTATTATTTGTAGAATTCATGTTTTTAAAAGGCTTTATGGTTATGTGAGTGGTTCATTGAGTTTGTGACTTCTTATTTTCTAAGATTCTGAGGTCCCGTGACTGTGTACTAGAGACTTACACGTGGAAGGCTGGATGATTTGGAAGGCCGAATCTATGGCTCTGAGGTTTTCCAATTGAATCTAAAATTTCAAAGTACTTTTGCTCTGAGATTTGAAGGTCCTACAACTCTGGGCTTCAAGAGTCCTTGGTCCCAAGACAATAAGCTTTTAAGAATGATCCTGTAATTCTACTGGGCGCCGACGGCCAGAACATGGTAACTCGGAGTGGCCTCCTGGGGCCTCTGGAGCCCGCTCCTCACAGGCTGCACAGCGGTCGCTCTTACCTGAGGGCCATGCAGGAGTAGGAGTAGCCCACGAAAGGCAGGTTGACCCCCAGCGGCACGCCTTCCCGCATGTCTGACAGCGTCTCCTATACAAGAGAAGCACAGACATGAGGTGACCACCGGTTGTCAGGGCTGGCCCATCACCCCTTCTGTCTTGGCTTAAATGTCCCCCCTAAACCCCACTCTGACTTGTACTTCTCCATACTGTAAGTGGATGAGGAACCGGAGCTGACTTGGTTTGCGTGTGTCCCCAGCAGTGGCCAGGTCCAGGGCTCCCTGGCTGACCAAGCACTTTGGGATAGCTTGTGTAGCAGCTGGAAAAGAGATGCCCTAAGGAAGGGAGAGTCCTCTATGGTGCTTTCCTTCCTCTCGCCTCTCATCCTTCAAGGTCTGAGCTCAGACAGCCCCCTCTTCCAGGAAGCCCTCCAGGACCTTCCACGCTGGGTCAGTGTGCACTCCCTGCACTCCCCCATCTCGGCCCTGATCTCTCTGGAGTGTCACTGTCTGTGGTCAAGTCAGTGGCCCCCACTGGACTGTGAGTCTAGGTCACGGCTGGGTTCCCAGCACTGGGTCGGCATAGAGGAGGTTCTCTGGGAAAGAAATGATTTTAGGATCACAGGAGGTCGGCACTCTTCTAACCCCCTTTATGGAAGGGTGCGGGGGGAGTGGCAGGGGTCACAGGTACGTACCCCGCCCCCGCTCACCATGGCAGTGAGCCCATCCTCCACCACGTCGAAGTTGCACGTGTCAGTGGCACCTTCAAAATCTGGCGTAAAAGGAGGCACGCTGTCTCGGAGACCATCCCAGTCTAGGCCAAAGAAGAAAGGATGCTTCTGGAAATCTCCTGCTCCGTTCTGGCCCAGCCGTGTCTCCGGAGGACACAGCAGCCGCTGGATGAGGTCGCGAGCCTCCTCAGGGACCCCTGCATCAGCCAGCGGTAGAGACAGGTGCTCCTGCTCGGAGGGGAAGGAAAAGCGGCAAGTCAGTCTGGGAGCAGGTGCAGCGCGATCGGGGGCTCCTGGACCCTGCTTACGTTGTAGTGCACGATCTTGCCGTAGGTCTCTGCAGTGGAGTCAGCGTAGAAGGGCGTCTGCCCGTAGAACATTTCATAGGCAAACACGCCCAGCGCCCACCAGTCACATTCGGGCCCGTAGCTGCCCGTCCCCGGCCCGCCGCCCACGGCCTGCAGGATCTCTGGGGACAAGTAGTCCGGGGTGCCCACAGCCACCAGAGACCGCACCTGAGGCAAAGCAAGCAGAACCGGGCTCAGCCCTGCCCCTCCGGGCCCTGGCTCCGCCCCCTCATCTGAGCCACGCCCCTCGCACTTAGTTCCCGGCCCCTGCCTGTTCTAACCCTGAGCCAGGCACGCTTGAGCCTGAATCGCCTCCTTCTCTTCTCCAAATCCAGTCCTGCCTCCATCCTAGCTCTGCCCGCAGGTCTCAGCCGGCCTCCGCACTCTGAATCTCTGGTCCCGCACCTAACCCTACCCCTCATTGGTGACCCGCAGCGGACGGGTGCACCGCTCACCGTTCCATCCGCCCTCAACTTCAGGCAGGAGCCGAAGTCAGCCAAGCGGATGTGGCCACAGCGGTCCAGCAGGATGTTGTCCGGTTTGATGTCCCTGAGCAGAGGGATGAAGGGAGGGAAGGGGGTATGTCGGCCTCCCTCCCACCATCTCAAAGGCTCCGCCCCTCTAGGCGGCACCTCCTCGGGCCCCACCCTTAGGGACCAGCCTCTCCAATTCCCAAGCCTCCAGGCCCTGCCCTCAGGCCTCACCTCCTTGGGTCCCGTCCCTTAGGGGATTCTACAGTTCTGCACCCCACTCCTCAGCCCTGTCTCCAGAAGGACCCGACCAGCGTGGTCCCTCTCCAGGCCTCGCCGCCTCTGAGCTCCATCCTTCCAGGTACCCTTCTGGGGTCCAATTTTTGCTATCCCCTCCAGGCCCCGCCCTCAGACCCCGCCCTTCAGGCCCCGCAGTGCCCACCTGTGCACATAGCCCAGTTGGTGCACCGAGTCTATGGCCATGACAATCTCAGCCAGGTAGAAGCGTGCCATCTCGGCCGGGATCCGCTCCCCAAACTTGCTCAGCAGAGTCAGCAGGTCCCCGCCCACGTAGTACTCCATGACCAGGTACTGGGAGGGGGCGTGTCATGGGGGGGGTCGGTAGACCCCCTAGATGCCTATTGCTGGTAGCCCGGGATAAAGACTCCCAGAGATGACCCCACAGCCAGAGCCCCAAGAGAGCTCCAGAGATCTCCTAGGCCAAATTGGAGATACTCACCCTCCCTAAAAAACATTCTTCCAGGATGTCACTGAGCAGAGACACACACACACACACACACACACGGGGAAAAAGGACCCAGAGACCTCCCAATACCCAGAGGATGCGGTCCAGATACCCCCTGCCCAGTGGCCCCCACACAGACTCTACAGAGCTTTCCCATTCCAGGTATAGCGCCCCTGACGGCGGCTTTACGGAGCCCCCCAGAGTTAGCCCGGGAGAAGCGCAGTAAGGGACATCGGCCACCCAGGAAGGGAAGCCCGATCCTACCACACACAGACTCCCACAGGCACTTCACGGCAGCTCCTCCACCCTAGAACTTCCTCTCCCTGCCCGCCTCGTTAACTGACAGCCTCGGGGGTGGGTATCTGTCTCTCTAGTCACCAGGCCTGGGGCTCACCAGGTAGTTCTCATCCTGGAAGGCAAAGTGCAGCTGCGTGATCCAGCGCCGGTCTCCATTCACCAGCACGTCCCTCTCTTCACGGAAGCACGACACCTGCCAGGCACCCAGAAGAGCTGAGCGGTGGGGGGGACTTGGGGGAGGGTCCTTAGCGTCCTGCACATCCAGCCCTGCGCCTCACCTCGCCTCTCTTCAGCATGTCCCACTTATTCATGATCTTCATGGCGTACACCTGGCCCGTCTGCCTCATCTTCACCACTGCTACCTGAAGGTACAAACGGGGTGACAGAGGAGGAGGTGGCGGAGCAACATGGGGTATGGCAGCCACCCAAACCACGCCCACCCATCTCGCCACGCCCACTGGCCTCAAGCTCCACCCCCATCCTCTGCTGGTCTTAGGTTCTAAACTCATTCATCAATTTCTAAGGCCCCGCCGCAAACTCCTCTGGCCCGCCCCGCGGAGCAACCGGCACGGCTCAGGCCTCACCTCGCTGAAAGCCCCGCGTCCGATCACCTTCAGAATCTCGAAGTCATCCCTCTGCAGTCGGACCTCCTTAAGCCTCGCCGCGATGGGCTCCGCTGTGAGGCGGGGAGGGGGTGATGGCAACCAAGGGTCACTGGGACTGACATTGGAGAGGAGGAGGAATTCCCACCCTCTGTCCCTCAGTCCCCCTCTCTGTCCCTCAGTCCCAATTTCCCCTTCTGAGTCTCCCCTTAGGGCTGTCTGCCTCCCAGGGGCTTCCCCACATACAACAGTGTGAGGTTTGAGGGATGTAAAACCGTCCCCCTACAGAAAGGTAGGGTGCCTGGGAACCCCTTTTCGGGACAAGGCACTGGGCCACAGGGCTCTCTGGGAGCAGGGTGGAGGGGGAGGAGTCTGCAGAAGGGAGGCCCTGAAAAACATGGAAAACAGGCCCAGTTCTGACTGCTCCCTGGGCTTCAGGACCCACGGCTGTTGGGTGCTGCCCAAAGGGCCCAAGGCCCGCCCACTCCGGGCTTCTCCAGTCTGTCTTGGAACATGCAGTTTTACGTGGTTCCTCTAGGTTTAGAAGAAGCTGGCTCTTGAGCTACACTTTGGGAAACACTGGATTTAGGGATGGGGCCAGGAGGACCCAGAAAGGAAGACAAAACGGGAGTGACCAGCATCTGGGCTCCAGGCCGGTTCAAGTCTTCAGTCTTCTCCACTCCAGGAGGAGCACTCTGTTATGACTTATTTACAGATGGGGACTCGAGGCGCAGACAGGTGAAGTCATTTGTCCAAGGCCCCACGGCTAGGAATGTTTAACAGGGCATTTTGGGAATGGGGAAGCCAGGGGTGGAAGCAGAAGACTCAGGGCCACGGGAAGAGGGAGGCCTGGATCACCTGAGGGTGGAGGCCGCCAGGACCTCGGGGCAGGGTGGAGAGAGGGATAGGTGTGAGTAGGAATGAGGGGAGACACAAGGAGTCATGGAGGGGAGAGAGGGGCCCCCCACAGGGTTTGGGGAGAGTGGGCCAGTAGGGATGAACCAGCCAGGGCCCAGGACGGGGGAGGGAGGAGAGAGCCAAGACACTGAGCCCTTTTAAGGCAGCGGGAACCCAGGCCCCCTCCCCCGCGCGGCAGCCGGCAGGGGAGGGGCCGCAGGATGCTGCTCGGGCCACAAAAGGAATGCTCCTCACAGGAGAGCCAGACCCTGCCCCCACTTTAGGCCTCAGTTTACCCTGCCAACCAAACAATTGTTTGCAAAAGGGAGACCAAGAGAGCTGCTAAGGGCTGGGAGGAAGAGGGAGAAGGTTCTTCCAGAGGCTGAGTGGCCTGGCCCTTGGCCTCCACCTTCCCAGCTGTAAAACGGAGGTGGAGGGAGAGGATCAGGGCCTGGGTCCCAAAGAGATGGATACAAGAAAAAAAGCAGGAGAAGGCAGAGAGAGGAAACCCAGGGACAGAGAGCACTAGGGCCAAGAGCAAGCCACTGTGGGACCGACCAGTGGAGGGACAGTGGCAGGTGTCACAGAGACAGAAACCCTAGTGAGCCTGAGTCCTGGGCCAGGACGGGGTGAGGACAGACAACGAGAGAGGCTGAGGTTGAAGCATCTTCCCTCTGGACCTGTCTCCAGGGAAAGACCTGGCAAGAAGTGGCTTTGTGGGAGAGCCGGAGGCTAGACCTCATGAACTAGGAGAATTAATGAACCTGGGGAACTGGAGGGGAGCTCAAGGCTGACCCGGGAGGACTAGGGGGGACCAAGGCAAACCTGGGGCCGGGGGGAGCTCCTCCATCCAGGGAGTGGAGGGGTGCTGGGTGGTGCCCATCTGCAGAGCTGGTTCTCCCCCAGGGCCTGCCTGAGTCACTGTGCCCTCCCAGCGCCTGGACACCTGTTGAGGCAGCTGGAGAGGCTGGCGCCGAACACCTGCCCATCAGCCGCACCCCTGGCAACTGCCCCATCCTGTCCCTTCTGCTAGCCACTGTGCTCTGGGAAAGCAGGGTGGAGGGCCATGGGGCCCAGTTTGGGGTGTGTGGGGTCCTAGGAGATAGGGCTCCCAGCATGTCCCTAGGCCCAGACTTGAGGAAGGGAAAACAGGGGGACCATGGGAGGCTGTGCCCAGCCCAGCCTACCGCGGCGCCCAAGTCACGGTCCTGAGTCATGGCTGCCCTGGCCTCTGTTGACCCCGTTCTGCCCGGCCAGGGGGGCACAGAGGAGGGGGCAGGTAACCCCAAGACCCTAGCCCAAGCTCTGAGCCCCTGAGCAGAAAGCTCTCCCCATGTCTCTCCTGCCCAAGAGCCACCCCTGCACCCAACCCCGTCTCCTGCCTCTACCCTGTCCCTACCCCTTCCCAGTCTGGGGGAGCCCATGCAGGCAGGCACTCACCCCACTGCAAGAAGTCGGCCACGTACTTGTCTTGGGCCAGGTCGGAGGCGCCCAGCTCCTGGTGGACGCCCAGGAGAAGGTCGAGCAGGGGCTCCAGCCCCAGGAAGCCGGGGTCCAGCACCAGCTGCTGGAGCCGCCTCAGCCGCACCTCGGCTGACATGTTGGGCGGGCAGCACCATGGCCCCCTCCCCGGGCCTGGGGCTCGGGGTCCTCCTGTCACGGGGCCTGGCAGCCCCTGTCCAGGCCACGGGGCCCTGGCCGCATGTCGGCCTGTCCCTGGTTGTCCCCTGGGCCTCTCTGGCCACTTCTCTGCTGGCTGCAAAGGCCTCCTCCCCTTCTCCCCACCCCTTGGCCAGCCCCCTCCTGCCTCCCAGCCTTAACCCCTGGCAAGCCAGGCCCCCCCAACCAGAACATTTCAGTGCAATTGGGGGGTGGAGAATCTCAACTCTAGAACACTGCCCCCATGAAAAGGTGGAGCACAGAAGTGACAAAGGCTGAGGGTGAGCCCTCCCATTTTTCAGAGGGGGCCAATCGAGGTCCAGAGTGACCTGGTAACACCCCTCCCAAACTCTGGAGTTGGGGGAGAAAGGGGTGAGGCCTGGGAAGGGGGCAGGAGGCCAGTGCAGCTTTGTGGGTGACTCAGCCCCGGATTCAGACATTGGGACGTTTAAATTTAGCCTTCGGGCCCTCTGCTTTACACCGACTTGTTTTTGGCAGGAGGTGGGGAAGGGGTGGTGAGAGAATTGGGAAGTGAGGCCCTCAGGAGCCAAGACCAGGGGTGACCTGCTGGCCAAAGCCAGGGGGAGGCAAAAGAGACCCCAAAATAGCTCCTTGGCCCCTAGCCCACAGCCACGTTCCTGCCCAGGCTGGGATTAGAAACAGAAACATTTCGGGGGGTGGAGGGCGGAGCAGGCGCCGCTGGGAGGGATTTCGTTGTCCTTTCCAGGGCAGACAGTTCTCCCGGAGGAAACCGGGTCTCCGGCTGGTCCTCCGAGCCAGGCCCGAGGCAGCAAGCGGCCCAGACCTGCAGTCAAGGCCGCTCACTCAGGGCCTTGGGGCCTGCCTGGGGGACTCCATCTGAGCAGACCCTGTCTTGTCAGATTTGAAGTTGGGGCCTTTCCAAACAACTCTGAAAACTCCCACGGAGGACTATGAAGCGGGGGCCCTCCTCAGGGCTGGCGGGGCCACGAGCATGTCCCTCGTCCTGCCGGCTTTCCCGCTATTATAAAGGGGGCAG